TCTAAACACAGCCCCGTTCAGCGTTTTGCTCTAAAGTGTTTGAAGTTAAGCCTTTATAGGGCAAGTTACCATTTTTCATCCCTTGCATATCCCTTACAAATGGAGTCCCCCCCGTCCCTCAGTGAGGTCTAGAAGCACAAGATCTATATACTGTACAGCCATTCAGCAAAGATACTGCTACATGGCTGCATATCTTATTTTGGCATTTGACCAATTAGTTGAGCCCATGATTGTTAGGAATTCAGTTTGTGTGGCCTGTTTGTGTGTTTCCTTTTTCCACCACCAGGAGGTGCCCTGTCTTCTCTGTCCCTCGCTGCACACCTGTGGCTCATTGGATCATTATCTGGAGGAGAATTTGAGCAGTGGGCTGTCACTACCTCGACGCCAGAGTGTTTGCTAGTTTTGGGTACTCTAGCCAAGCTGAGTTTAGCTGAGTCTAACCTAGCTTTGTTTCTCTGAGTCTAACAATTTTTTTGTCTTTGCTCCCCGGCAGGAAGCTTTCCTGTGTTACTGGATTCCTAGACCTTCTCCACCCTGGAAAGAAAAAATGAGTTATACTGAATAGGGGAAAACCGCCACATGTTCCATTCAAGAACCCATCGGAAATCCGAGTGACAGTCCATTACTCCTCCGGGTCCAACGCTTGTCTACCTGTCCGCCCTCCAACGTGTTCACTATTCTCTGGATTTACCACACAGACTGTATTCAAGGACTAACAAGGCCCCATTTGTGTTTTGTGTCCAAAACACAAATGGGTTTCTTTCTCTCTCAGAGTTCTTTTCATGAATTACTTATAGAACAGATTTGTTATTTTTCTTAATATTTTCAGGCAATTTGGGGTTTCTTGTTATTATATTGACATTAAGTTTTGCCATCAAAATATCCATATTTATTGAATGTTACAAAGGTAATAAGGTCTTGTCCTGGATTCCACACTATTGGCTTGAAATTTTGTTTTTCAAAGTATTTCACTGAGTTCCCTATAATGGGTTAAGACAGAAAGGCTGGTTGGAAATGTGCTTCATGCAATTTCAGCCTTGTGCTGTTGATCAGATTAGCGTCACCCCAACCCCATCACCCCCACCCCCCACCACCACAGGCGGCCTTCGTCTGGACGCGGACGAAAGGGTGTGTGCATCCCAGATGTCACTTAGCAAGGATTTCACTCATTTCACACAGGCTTAAGACAGAAAGTAAGTAGCTCTGTATCCATGTTTTAATGCAGCATAGCGTCAAAGGAGCTTATCCTGTGAGAGTTGATGTTTCTTTTTCCAAGCAGGAAGAGAGTGATGCTGCTACTGAGGCATTTGTGGAAATAATCCAACCCCCTCTCGACACATTCCACTTTTAAAATTGAAAGGCTATGATGTTATTGTGTCCACAACACAGCTGAGAAGTCTGTGTTTTTTGCGTTTGTTGATATCCGTCTTAAACGCAAAAAAGGGTCAGAGCCATTAACAGACCTGGGCCTGTGTGCCAGGCCTTCCGCTAACAGGGCCTTCTCTCCAGGAACAGAGCAGTAATTTCCTCCACTCAGTGCAGCAGACTTTCTGAAACCTATACAGATGTACAGGGGCTCCGTTGCCTTGACAACCTGATAATCCACTGAAGTGCCGTTGTCACTGTACCGCATTCAGGCATGATTACGCCACACTGGGATTTGGACTGGAGGGGGCAACTTAAAGTGTTTAGTGTATAACAGACGTACTGTTTGAGTTGCTGGGTTATGTCAGCGTCAGTGTTCAGTTAGCAGGAGAGCTACACACTTTAACACTTAATCTGCACAAGGAAACAAGCAGCCCTCATGCTTCCACAGCCATCTGAACTATAAAACTCTGTTTAAAACATAAACATATTTGAGCACTAAAGCAGATTTCGGACATTTTCATGACGTCTGATCAATTGTATTGGTCAGCTTTCACACTTTAAGATACAAGAACTATCACATTAAACTGAATTAATGCAAATTTGAGGAAACAATGCCTTGAAAATAAAATCTAGAAAGAATGACGTGCATTCTTGTACAGACTGTTTTGTATTAAGAGCCATTTTATTTATTTATATTATTATTATTATCATTATTATTTATTTATAGTCAACGGAAGGGTCATTGGGCTTAAACTGGACTGAAGTAGTAAAATTACAGTCTGAGGACAAATAAACTAACATAGTAAAACTTTACAGACTGGTTAGAAGTAGGTATGCTGACAGGGCTTTGTGCAAACTGTTCATAAACAGTGGCTTAGTTTAGCATGATGGTTAATTGCTCAGCTAGTGAGCAGGAGCAACTGGTGAGCTGGTGGCACTGATGAATAGAGTTTGTTTACATTCTAGACAGAAATATTAAAGTCATAGGGAAATTATATTTAAATTTTAAATCCTTCTGCTTTAAACATGTATATAAATGTACTTTTTATCAGACCAAATTGTCTCAAAAGTTAGAAAGTTTCTATTTTTAAAAACATCCTGTCTTAGAATCTGTTTTTCTTTTCGTTATCTTATGCAGGCCATTTAGTTATATGTCAGGTTGTACACCTAGATTCGGCCAATCATATATCAAAGGTCATCTGTCCATCAAATGTTTTCAGTCACAGAATCTTGATTCATATGTCGCAGCTAATATACGCAACGGTTGAAATCAGAAATAAGAATCCTTTTCTTTTCCCATTGAGTTCCGTCCCAGTGTTCATAGGGATGGACGTCTGTGTCTTCAGCAGGCGT